TCGGGAAGTAAAAAGAATAAATTGAAAAACTGAAAAATCGAGAACGAAAAATTGAAAAATCAAAAACTGAAAAATCGGAAAATATAAATACCGAAAAACTGAAAAATCCAAAAAAAAATCAGATATCGAAAAATTGTAAAATCAAAAAATCGGAAAAACTCAAAATTGAAAAACAACTGAAACATCGAAAATGTAAAATTTTAAAAATCGAAGAATTGTAGAAGAAAAACCGAAAATCGGAAAATTGAAAAATTCTAAAATTGAAATGCCGAAAAATGAAAAATCTAAAAATTGAAAAATCGAAAAACCGAGAAATCTAAATTGAAAAATTGAAACATTTAAAAATCAAGACAACCCAAAATGGAAAAGTTCAAAACTGAAACATTTAAACTTTAAAACTTAATAAATTGAAAAAAAAATTACGAATCACGAATCACTAATCACTAATCACGAATCACTAATCACTAATCACGAATCACTGATCACTAATCACGAATCACGAATCGCTAATCACGAATCACGAAATTACGAAACCAAGAAATCACAAAATCACGATCAATGATCAGTGATTCGTGATTAGTGATTAGTGATTTTATTTGTTTGGTGGTTTGCAATCTTGGGGTTTTTCTTTCTGATTTTCCTTTCGGATTTTTTAATTTCTAAGTTTTGCAGTTTAATTTTTCAATGTTCCTATTTTTTCCGATTTTTGTAGTATTTTTTAATTTTTCGTGGTTTGGAATTTTGGAATTTTTCAACTTTTAGTTTTCGATTTTTAATTTTTCAGTCTCTCGATTTAAATTTTTAGATTTTTAAATAACAACCATTTATTTACGAAAGTGTTCATTACATAAATCAAACTAAACAAAATAAATTAATTTTTATGTTTAGTATTCCGATTTTTAGTACTTAGTTTGATTTTTAAGTTTTGATGTTTCAATTTTTCGTTTCTTCAATCTTACGATTTTTTAGAAATATGTTAAATTGTTAAATTTTTTACTTTTTCAATCTTGCAGTTTTAAAATTTTTAAGTTTTTCATTTTTGATTATTAATTTTCTCGGTGTCTCAACTTTTCAATTTTTCGATTATTTAATTTTTCAGTTCCTCAAATTTTCGATTTTCCATTCTTCAATTTTTCAGTTTTTTAGACATTTTAATGTTTCCTTCAATTTTGCGTTTTTTCCTCTCTCTATTTTTTTTACAATTTCTCAATTTTTCTATTTTCTATTTCCCAAAGTCTTAAACTTTTCGATGTTTTATTGTTATAATTTTTCGGTTTTAGTTCGTTTTTTTCCGATTTTTGAACATTTTTTTAATTTTTAGTTATTTTATTTTTTGCTGGTTTCTAAAGAGTATCATAAATCTTTAGTCAAAATATATTTGCTTATCCCCTCCAAAAAATTGATGACGTCAGCTCGAAACTTTGCGGAATAAATCGTATCTAAACTGTACAAAATATGATGAGTCTCTTCTTGTGATTTATCATTCCGTTCATATTTTTTCGATTTGCATATACAGGGTGACCCAAAAAAAATAATGAATGCGTATAAATGTGTTTTATTGATTTAATCAGGAACTACAGAACGGAATGTTTTGAAATTTTGCAGATGTTTTAAGGTTATAAAGAGCATAATAAATTTTTAGTCAAAATATATTTGATTATCTTCTCCAAAAAACTGATGACGTCAGTTCAAAAGTTTGCCGGATAAATCCAATTTAGAATGTACAAAATATGATGAGTGTGTACTTGTAATTTATCATCCCATTCATATTTTTTGAATTTGCATATAGCGGGTGACTCAAAAAAAATAACAAATTCCTAAATTTATTTTATTCATTTACTCAGGAACTACAAAACCGAATGCTTTGAAATCTACTGCGAAAAAAAAAAACATAATAGGCATTCAGTCGTCACATTTCCGACAGCGAGGGAAGTACTGTCTAAATTCTTTAGACCAATTTTTTTCTACCAAGCGTAAAAAGATTAAATGTTAACTTTCCACGTTTTGAAAACATATTTTTCAGGTAAGTAGAAAGCTTTTATCTTATTTGCACCTAGATGAGGTATATTTGCGAGTAGAAATAGGATTAGTCTTATCGTCGGTACTGATTACCTACTGATTAGGATTCCTCAAATTCAGTCGTCCGTGTAGGATGTTAGTTTATTGCCTCCTCTCAAAAACTTTACTAAAGCTTACACTAATTAAGGGGGTTTTACCAGCCCGGACAACCGTCTACTGTAATAAACTGTCAGATACATGAATGTTTCTTTACCTGCGAGAGTATCGGTGCTATACCTCTTCGAAAATTTCTCAAACTCTATAAAAACAGTCTTGATGAACACATTTACAGCGGGGCTAAACAATGAATCGTCCTAAGCCCATTAGTCGCATTGAAGTCACCTCCAAATATCAGTAGACAAACTATAAATTTCGTCGCAGCGAGAGCTTTAATTCATAGCCGATAGTGATCGGATCCACGAAATTGATCGATACTTGGCACTTTAATTTTTTCATTAAGTCATGTGATTAAATCGCATACTTACAGATTTATGATGGAGATTCTCTCTTGTATGACTTTGTATTGATTTTGGATAATTACTGACTAAATTTGTCAAATGGTGATTTTCTAGTAATAAGTAGGTATATTAAGATGTAAACATTTTTGTATATTTTTTGTAAATTAAATGATAAAGAAATGAAACTATAGATTGTTTTTTGTTTACCATTTAACTAATTTTTGGACCTATTATTTGCAAGTATAAACTGTATTTAGGATTTCGTACCTGCATGTTTATCATTAAAGATCAACTGCTTAAATTAATCCTATTAAGTAACATACATACACGTTAAAAACTGTTAATACTTTTGGTAATTTCCTGAAAACAACAAAAGCCGTAGAAGTAGAAAATCAGTGTTTTACAAGAATTCCAACAAAAATTTGCAGAATATAATTATTTAATGGTTGCTGATTTTTACAACGTTGTTAAGAAACACTGTGCGAGTATTTCGTGAAAGAGGTAGTGTCCACAACAAAAAAGGTGCTGGACGACAAACATTGTGTATGTACTAATGAAGTCGTAGAAGATGTTGAAGAAAGCGTCAACTTCAATGAGGCACCTGTCGCAAGAAGTTGGCCTTTCCGTTGGATCTACATGCCATAAAATTGTGAAAAAAAGCTCTACCTTTTCTTTCCAAATTCTTTGAACTAACTAGAAACAATAACCTAACTTTTGTTCAAGAGTTACAAGATAATGAACTCCAAGACGGATTTTTTCAACATACAACAGTAGACAATTTGAATTTTTTACGTCAATTCTTTGATGAAAAAGTGAAAAGTTTACCTTCAGTTCCTGGGTGCCCTCCCTCTCCCCCCAAGGTCACCAAATTTAATTCCTCTGGATTATCTCTTGTTAGGTTATCTAAAAAACACCAAGTATTTTTAAGACTCCCTTTCACACCATAGAAGAACAGAAAACAGAATTAGTGGGCTCGCAATATTCCTGCTACACCACAAAATGTGTTTGATAACATGAAAAGACGTGCCTATTTATGTACACAGAAGAATGGATACCATTTCCAACAGTGTCTTTAATTTTGTTTTCGCCTTTTAAGGCTCGTCTGCAGTGGATGGACGCATTCTCTGTTCCTATATAAATTTTTATGTGAGATTAAGGCTTTATTTTTAAATATGAAAAAGCGAAATTAACATATTTAACGCAACTTGTAAAGCTCGAGGCAGGAGTTAAATTAATTTTTTGCCAACAAACATGATTTTTCTTTAAATTGGAAAAAATATAAAATACATTTTTCGGGCTTTCAGTAAAAATAGTAATATTTCAGAATTCAGCTTTCGCACACTTGGCTATGAGTCAAATCTACACAGGTGTTAAATTAATTTTATATTTTTGTCAATGAAGAACCGGTAATTAACATTTTTTTAATTACAAAAGTGGGCAACCAACATTGCAAAAATTTTACTGGACGAATTTTGGGTTCTCCCTAAAAAGGAAAGTTTTATACCTGATCTAAGTGCTCTGACCGTACTAGTAAAATTTTAAATGAACAAAATTTGCATTAGTTTATCGGAGTCGTTCTGGCGAGAGTGTTTCGATTTCACTGATATTTGAAATTGTTTTATTGTTTTATTTCTGTTAAAAAAATGGGAATTTATAGCAAAGTGCACAAAACTGTGGTGTTCGAAGAAAAAGTAAGACGGCTTTGGTAAAGCAACGTTGGAAAAAACGACAGTACGTAAAATTTATTTTAAAATAATTGGTCCTAGAACACAAACAAGCAAATGCTAGTTAGTTAAATGACAATAATAATTCTATAATTAATATTTATATATAGGTTGAATAGTTCAGTAGCTGTCAACAATGGCCCAACTGATGCAAGTAATGAAAGTACGGGATATATCTATGATAATCATCTTAATAATATTAATAATTTATAATAATATTTAGTCAAAGTAAGTGGATACTATATGTATGTTGGGTTGCCTATAAGAAAGAGGTAAGTGGGTCATTTAAATTGAATCACCCTGTATATGGAAAAAATATATTTCAGGAAAGTGGAAGTCATTTTTTCACGGGCGGCCAAATATCTAGCATCCGTCCTGTAATCTATTTTAAAATCGTACCGAAATTGAATTTCAGAAGGAAATCGTCATCGTACGGATTTGAATTGTCCATTTGTTCATATTGCTTGGTTTCATATTTTGCTACTCATTTTGTTTGATTTTGTACGAAAACAAGTAAGGAGTAAAACGAGGATAAGTTTGTTTGAAAATAAATAAAAAATTCCGTTTTCCTAATATCTATAGGAACAAAATTTATTAACGTAACAAAGTTGTGTACATAAGAAAAGAAAATAAATAGACCCAAGAAAAAGAAAAATTAATTCCATACTTACAAAAGTTGAGGAAATGTTAACTCATAAAACTCGAAAAATAGAATTATATTTAAACTTAAGAGAAGTAACACTTTGGTTGTTGGATTGGACTAGTAAATAACATTTTTTACTCATGTAAAAACATGCAAAAAGAACTTAAATTAACATTTAACAATATATCCAAACAACAATATTAACTGTTTTAACAGAGTTATTGTTGAGAAACTTATTAAATACCCTGTTATTAATTGATTACATATGTCTTTGTTTTGCAGCGATCCTTTTTAAATTCACAAAATTGAGCATCAGTCGCGCTTGATATTTTACACGACATTTAAAATATCTTCCATGTCTCAGACAAGATATCCTTCCTGTTCAAGAATTTGAGCTAGGAGACTTTGGGGATTCTCGCTGGTTTTGTGAAGAACGTCTGGCGATGGAACGGCATCTCGCTGATGGCGGAGAAGAGATTCATTGGCCGGAAGAGGCGGTGTCATCGGGTTGTGCATATGATCCACCTGAGGAAGTGCCGGTATTGGAGGCGGATCTTGAAAATCTAGAGGTGGTGGATTCGAAAGATAGCAGTGGGACATGTTGTAATACGACCCGTCTGCTGGAGGTGCTGGCGGTGGGGCACTTATGAACGTCGATTTTGCTGAAATTTGTCAAAATGTGTTCAACTACCGAGTTGTGCAATACATAATTTTAAAACATCGAGATGAAGACAATAAATAATTCGTTTTGTTTCAGTGAGTTCACATTTGATGACAGCGTAAAGTTTATAATTTATTAATTTAGAATGTTACAGAAAGAATAACGGCGTTGCCAGTTCGTTAACATTTGTTTTCTGTTTTTAATTCTAGCATTTTGTTCCTCTGCGCAAGCGCAGTGAACATTATTTATTTGATTATTTTAAAACTATGTTACTTGAGCCGACTTGAGCTAACCTGATGGAACACGAGAATGTTAGACATACATCGATCACCTATCTATAAAGAGAAATAAATTTGTTTCGTTGAAAGATATTTGTTTTAAAAATAATGTGATACCACAATCTACACAGATGCTGGATTTATGCAGACAAATTTTTTTTCTTAGTTGAAAAAATTTGAAGACACTATGAAAAACCATATTGTTTAAATCAGTTTTATGCAGTTATGTTACTCTGTAATAATAACGAAATTTCGAATAGCTTTCGAGTAACGAAATGATAGAGAATAGTCAACTATTACAAAAAAATAAAAAAAAAATGTAATTTAACGACAAAGGGTATGGAATAGCAAAAACTGTGCACTGCGTACTTTTCTTAAAGAATAAGAATTGGAGATGTTTAGAACGAATTTTTTTGTATTTGAATTTTGAGACATAAAATCATATCAAATAATTTGTTTTATTAAATATGATGATATGAAGTCGTAAGGGAAAACATCAAAAGTTACATTTCTGAAATTTTTGAACTGATTCCTTGAGTCTACAAACGACAAAAGTTGAAACTATATCCAATCGTCTTCTTTTCGCCAAATGAATCGATTTTGCATATCACGAGAAGTTCAGAATGGTTAAAACGAGCCTGAATATAACTCATAAATGTTAACAAAAATTTGATCTCTAGCTAAAACATGAAAGTTTTCTTGGCATTTTTGAGTTCATAGGATGGAGGCAAGGTACAATTCACTAAATAAAAAATTAATACATTTTCCAATATATGTACATATAAGTGTTCGAAGAATCAGGTGATAAAATTGTTTGACGCAGTTTAGGAAAATCGGTCCACTCTCGATTAAAGAACGTGTATGTGTGTCCAATAAAAATTGTCTCGGATAGGAGAAAGAGGAAAGTCCTTTGAAACATAATTATTTAGATAAAGAAAAATATATCTATAGATTTAAAATAGTAAAAGTAGAGTAAAAGTTACAAATAAAGGATGATATTTGCATTTACATAATAATTTAAACAGTTTAATCTATAGAAATCTGAACACACTGTCTATCTGCAATTAAAAAAACACTTTACTGCTTACTGTAAGTCTTCTCGTAGACTAAAAACTTTTAGCACCAAATATCAAAAGATATTTTTAGAGGTTTACATTATTTGAAAGTTTTGCAACACTACAAATCGACAAGCAGCTAAAAATGTTTGCATTTTTCAAATAGACGATCGTCAGTAGGTAGGTAAGTAGCAAGTGAGTTAGTTACCTGTCATAGTGCCTTGAAAGTCAAGGCTTTGGTCATCTCTAGCTCTGGTCCTATCATGGTCATAACTGAGACACACTGGCTGTACACCTGGGTAGTCCGGTTCGACCATGAAGTAAATCCTTGTTGCTTGTTTAGGGTCATCCTCCTGGCAAAAATATTCGGGCGTTACTTTCCTTTCCATTTATATCGTTATTACTATAACTATTTATAGTAAAGAAACAACGAAATTAGTCCGTTGTTTTAAAATTATGTGTGAAAAAAATTGCATCATATTTTTGTTTTGTGCAGTTTTAGTGGAATCAATTTCAAAGCCGACGGCATAATAATAAATAATGCAAAAAAATTAATAAACAACATGTATTAGTTTAATTAATTATGAGCTATTTCATTTTTAATAACTGTAAAGCAGTTAGAGCTATAATTATTGAAATTATGTTTACCTTATACTTTCTTCATGAAATCTTTGAAATCCGGTATATTAGACGCAGTACATATATATGAAAATTTAAAAAAAAAAAACGCAAAACAATAGAACGCACTTTGTTGTTTTCTTTTTGTGTACTACAACATGAACAGTAACAAATTCCCGGAACAAATCTGGCTTGCGCCCTGTTTACAATCAACTGTATTTATGCCATAACAATGTGTAGCACATTGAGAATACATGTCTGTGCATATAAAGTTACCATATACCATTTACATTTACATACGTGTATATTTTTTAGAAACACCTACCCCCGTGAACAGAACATTGAAGATACGTAAACAAATGCCACTTTTCGTGAAAACTATTACGACGTACAACTACGTAAAACTAACACAACCACTTAATTTCAATTTTTTTTTCATTGTTCCCTTTTTTACTTCCCGAGCGTAAGCAAAGGAAGTATTGTAATCGAGTCCGTCGGCCGACTCTCTACTTTTACGTTTTCTCGATCTTTCATGACTCCTAGAATACGAAAAAATAGATCTCCCATTTCCGTCTGTCTGTCCGTCCGTCTGTCCGTCTGCCGTCCCGAATTTTTATTAGACAGATAATCTCCGAAAGTACTGGACCGATTGTTGTGAAATTTTGTACTTATATTAGGAATATCATGTAGTTGGTAAAACGCTAACCAAAATTTGTCTAATCATCCCCACCACTAATGCGATGACGTCACTTAAAAATTGTACATAGTAAATGGGTCTTAAATTGTATAAAATAGCATAGTCCTACACATGTAGTTTACGACTCCGAATTCAGTTTTTACCCGAAACGTCCAGATTTTTGGAAAAAAAATCAAAATCATAAAACAACATTTTGCAATTTAATTTTGAATCTGCTGACCCGAATGTTTTAAAATGTTGCAGATGTTTTAAGGCTCTAAAGAGCATCATAAATCTTTAGTCAAAATATATTTGGTTATCCCCTCCAAAAACTTGAAGACGTCAGCTCAAAAGTTTGCCGAATAAATCCTATCTAAAATGTTCAAAATATGATGCGTCTGTACTTGTGATATATCACTCCATTCATATTTTTTGGATTTGCATATACAGGGTGACTCAAAAAAATTAATGAATGCGCAAAATTTATTTTACTGATTTACTCAGGAACTACAAAACCGAATGCTTTGAAATCTTGAAGATGTTTTAAAATTATCATAAGCATGGTAAATTTTTGATCAAAATGTATTTGGTCGTAACCTCCTAAAAAATTTATGACGTCACCACAAAATTTTGCTGAATAAATCCTATCTAAAATGTACAAAATATGGTGAGTCTCTTCTTGTGATTTATCATTCCATTCAAATTTTTTCGATTTGCATATACAGGGTGACCGAAAAAAATTAATGAATGCGTCAATTTATTTTTTTGAGTTAATCAGGAACAACAAAACCGAATGCTTTGAAACATAGGAGATGTATTAAAGTTATCATAAGCACGTTAACTTTTTTATCAAAATGTATTTGCTAATCCCCCCTCAAAAAATTTGATGACGTCAGCTCGAAAGTTTGCCGAATAAATCCTATCTAAAGCGTAAAAATATGATGAGTCTGTACTTGTGATTTATCACTTCATTCATATTGTTTAGATTTTCTTAAGAGGTGGCTCAAAAAAATTAATGAAGTCAATTTATTTTATTGATTAAATTAAAGGCAACACTTATTATTACTATTACATTGAACCAACCCAATTTGGTAGACACAAAATTTTTTAAAGTAAAAACTCGGTTGAAACATAAGGGTAGCACGCTTATTTACATCGACTTTAACATTACAGACCTGCATTTATTTTATGCGCTCACTTGATTCCGCGAATGTGGAATAGACATGTTTATAATCAACCAATTGTGAATTTCACCGTCAAGAATTAAAATAAAACCAAATGTTGTATATAATAAGCGGAAGTCGAAGCAATAAAACCGATGGTCGTTTTGTTTACAGTTTCTCTGTTTGACTCTCACGTATGCTGTTACGCTTGTCATCTTAAATTAAGAATGTTTATACATAAACGATTTTCAGTTGCCTTTCATATTACTAGTCCTTTTGTACTTAAATTAGCAATATCATGTAGATGGTAAAACGCTAACCAAAATTTGTATAAAATAACATAGTCCTACATCTGTAGTTTACGACTCCGAATTGAGTTTTTAAGTGAGTGAGTGAGTGAGTGAGTGAGTGAGTGAGTGAGTGAGTGAATCATGAATCACGAATCACGAATCACTAATCACGAATCACGAATCACAAATCACAAATCACTAATCACTAATCACGAATCACTAATCTCAAATCACTAATCACGAATCACTAATCACGAATCACTAATCACTAATCACGAATCACTAAACACGAATCACTAATAACTAATCACGAATCACGAATCACTAATCACTAATCACGAAATCACGAATCACGAATCACGAATCACGAATCACTAGTCACGAATCACGAATCACTAATCACGAAATCACGAATCACTAATCACTAATCACTTATCACTAATCACGAATCACTAATCACGAATCACGAATCACTAAACACGAATCACTAATAACTAATCACGAATTACGAATCACGAATCACTAATCACTAATCACGAAATCACGAATCACGATATCACGAATCACGAATCACTAATCACTAATCACGAATCACGAATCACTAATCACGAAATCACGAAATCACGAATCACTAATCACTAATCACTTATCACTAATCACTAATCACGAATCACTTAAAAAAATTAGATTAGTGATTAGTGATTGGTGATTAGTGATTCGTGATTAGTGATTAGTGACTCGTGATAAGTGATTAGTGATTCGCGATTAGTGATTAGTGATTAGTGATTGGTGACTAGTGATTAGTGATTCGTGATTCGTGATATCGTGATTCGTGATTTCGTGACTAGTGATTCGTGATTCGTGATTCGTGATTTCGTGATTAGTGATTCGTGATTCGTGATTAGTTATTAGTGATTCGTGATTAGTGATTAGTGATTAGAAAATAACATAGTCCTACATCTGTTGTTTACGACTCCGAATTGAGTTTTTAAGTGAGTGAGTGAGTGAGTGAGTGAGTGAGTGAGTGAGTGAATCACGAATCACGAATCACGAATCACTAATCTCGAGTCTCTAATCACTAATCACGAATCACTAATCACGAATCACTAATCACCAATCACTAATCCCGAATCACTAATCACTAATCGCGAATCACTAATCACGAGTCACTAATCACCAATCACTAATCACGAATCACGAATCACCAATCACTAATCACTAATCTAATTTTTTTTAGTGATTCGTGATTAGTGATTAGTGATTAGTGATTAGTGATTGGTGATTAGTGATTCGTGATTTCGTGATCCGTGATTTGTGATATCGTGATTCGTGATATCGTGACTAGTGATTCGTGATTAGTGATTCGTGATTTCGTGATTAGTGATTCGTGATTAGTCATTAGTGATTCGTGATTCGTGATTAGTGATTCGTGATTAGAAAATAACATAGTCCTACATCTGTAGTTTACGACTCCGAATTGAGTTTTTAAGTGAGTGAGTGAGTGAGTGAGTGAGTGAGTGAGTGAGTGAGTGAGTGAGTGAATCATGAATCACGAATCACGAGTCACTCATCACGAATCACGAATCACGAAATCACGAAATCACGAAATCACTTACCACGAATCACGAATAACTAATCACGAACCACGAATCACTAATCACGAAATCACGAATCACTAATCACTAATCACGAATCACAAATCACTAATCACGAAATCACAAAATCACTAATCACTAATCACTAACCACGAGTCACTAATCACTAATCACCAATCACTAATCTAATTTTTTTTTGTGATTAGTGATTTATGATTCGTGATTAGTGATTAGTGATTCGTGATTTCGTGACTCGTGATTCGTGATTAGTGATTCACTCACTCACTCACTCACTCACTCACTCACTCACTCACTCACTCACTCACTCACTCACTCACTCACTCACTCACTCACTCACTCACTCACTCACTCACTCACTCACTCACTCACTCACTCACTCACTCACTCACTCACTCACTCACTTACTCACTCACTCACTCACTAAAAAACTCAATTCGGAGTCGTAAACTACAGATGTAGGACTATGTTATTTTATACAAATTTTGGTTAGCGTTTTACGATCTACATGATATTCATGAATCACTAATCACTCACTCACTTAAAAACTCAGAAAGTACTAGACCGATTGTTGTGAAATTTTGTACTTAAATTAGCAATATCATGTAGATGGTAAAACGCTAACCAAAATCTGTAGTTTACGACTCCGAATTGAGTTTTTAAGTGAGTGAGTGAGTGAGTGAGTGAGTGAATCACGAATCACTAATCACGAATCACGAATCACTAATCACGAATCACTAATCAGTAATCACGAATCACTAATCACGAATCACTAATCACGAATCACTAATCACGAAATCACTAATCACGAATCACTAATCACGAATCACTAATCACTAATCACGAATCACTAATCACGAATCACGAAATCACTAATCACGAAATCACGAATAACTAATCACGAATCACTAATCACGAAATCACGAATCACTAATCACGAATCACTCACTAATCACAAATCACGAATCACTAATCACTTATCACTAAAAAAAA